AGGTGTATGTGGCTGGCGCCTTAGCCACTTGAGCCACAGGCACTGAGCCAGCCCATAAGATTTCATTCTATAGGAACATTGGGGGAAAGAATCCAGAAGGGGCTCAGTGCCTCTCTCAAAGTCACTGCTTTACTTTTTGCCCAAACCTGCTCATGGTGAGGAGGGAGGGGAGGGCTGTCTTTGGTCTCTTGCTCTGCTCCTGGTCTTTATTCTTGAGCACCTGGTGAGGTCCATGGAGAAGCAAATAGATGCAGCTACTCCCAAGTCTATACTCTCACACTAGTTCACAGTTAGCCTTTAACAGTGCATTAAAAATGTTTGTAAATTTATAAAAACAAAAGTTGAAACGATTTTTGGAAGCACTAGTACCTAAAAAACAATAACAAAGGCATGTTAGCTGAAGGTGCCTTGGTGGCTCATGTGGCACCTGCACCTTGTTCACCAAGTGAATGCTCAGTCTTTCCTGGCATTCAGGTTGGCTGGTTGTCCTCAGCCTCAGCTTTCCAGAAAGGTTGTATTTTCATTTGTTTTCTTCTCTTTTCTTTTCTTTTCTTTTTTTTTTTTGTCACCCTTGGTAGAATGCGTGGTGTCATAGCTCAGAGCAAACTCAAACTCTTGGGCTCAAGCGATACTCTTGCTTCAGCCTCCCTAGCATCTGGGACTATAGGGGCCTGCCACAATGCCCAGCTATTTTTAGAGACAGGGTCTCGCTCTTGCTCAGGCTGTTCTCCAACTGGTGAGCTCAGGCAATTTACCCACCTTAGCCTCTCAAGTGCTGGGATTACAGGTGTAAGCCCCAGTGCCCAGTATCTTCTCCATTTCTTGTCACTGTGGAAGCAGGGCCCTTTCCAACTTCCTTCGATCCTAAACAGAAGCTAAACACCTCCTTTAAATTGTACTTTCATTCTACTTCTCCCAGAACTTTATTCTACTACAATATAATGTTCATCAGTAGCATACAATTTATCGTTATGTAATATATTTTATTGTTAATGTATAATTGTTTTAAGTCTAAGACAATATAAGTATATTTCAGATTTTTTTGTGTATAGTCATCCTTTTATTATCCATGGGGGATTGGTTCCAGGATTCCCCACCTATCCCCAGAGTACCAAACTGCACAAATACTCAAATCCTTTAATATAAAATGGCATATTGACAGGTAGAATGTATTTTAAAAAAAGTAAAATGGCATAGCATTTGTATATAACCTGTACACATCCTTGTATATACTTTAAGTCATCTCTAGATTACTCATAATACCTAATGCAATGTGTAGTATTTTTTATTATTTTTTAAAAATATCTTCAACCTGAAGTTGGTTGAATCCACAGATGTAGAACCCATAGATACAGGAAGCCAACTGTACTTACTCAATATGAAAAAAAATGTAATTGAAAATACATGCCCTTGATAAGCTGGTTGCTGGGTTATGGTACCTTGTTTGAAGAAAGCTTTCTTACAGTATATTTGTAGTTGTCCCTTACTGTGGAGTCTCTGTAGTTTTCCCACACCAAGATAATAAACCATGAAGGATTCAGGATGGGCAAGAAGCCTTTGTTTATAGAGGTGGTTCCTTACTCTTAGTCCTTCCTCAGGCAGGTGGATTTTAGTGAAGTCACATTGGAAGTGGTAGATCTGGACCTTGATTTCATTAAAAGCAGTTGTGCCCTTGACCCCTGGGAAAAGCTTCATGCAACCTTAGTGTACATAGAGTTTGAGGACCACTAAATCCCATCTTCCGTAAGTGTTCTTCCCCTCCCATCATCCAGCTGTGTTGCCTACAAGTTCTGAATATGCAGCACAGGGCCAAGCTTCCATCCAGGTTTTAGTAAAGAACCAAAGTGACATTGGGAAAGAGCCTTTAAGACCAAGCCAGGCTTGGTCTTGGCATCTTAGAAGTAGCAGTGGGAGGGCAGTGCCAGCATTTGGGCGCTCTTCTTACCTATGTGGTGAGCTACATAGACCAGATGGGGACAGAAGGACTTGAGTGTTCCCCAGGTAGTTCCTAAATGTCTTTGTGACAGGAAAATAAGGGACATTCTCTTTTCTGCTTAGATCGTCATGCTCAGGAACGACATTTACCGCTGCCGAGCGGCAGGCATCTTTCTTCGCTTGGAGGGCGGAGGCTTGATCGCTGGCAACAACATTTACCACAACGCGGAGGCTGGTGTAGACATCCGGAAAAAGTCTAACCCTCTCATACTGGTACGTTTTTATCTTCATTCCCTGTTCAGGGTGGTTTGCAGAAACCTTTTCGGAGGATATTTAAGTCAATGCTGACATCTTGAATTTATATGCTTCCTGTTTGCGAGGGGTTCCTATTCTTTTCTCTGTATGTCCTTGGGACTGTGGGTCTCTCTTTCTTTCTCCATGTATCAGTACAACTTTAGACAAGTCATTTCCCTGTCATCTCCCCATCAATAAGGAAGAGGATGGATAGACAGGAGGGCCTGCAGACCTCCTATGCTGTGGTTGGCTTTGAGTTTGATAAGGATAAAGATAATAATGTCTGCCTTAAAAGACTCATAAATCCAAAAACAAATTTTAAAAACCCACCAAGTTATTTCATTCTTTTCTATATAAAGGACATTTAGGATATTTAGTTCTGGAGATAAATATTATTTATTTCATGGATGTCGTGAGGGTGTATTGAGTTTGATTTTCTACCAGGGTGAAAACAACTTAAAATCCTGGAATACTTGGTAACTAGTCATGTGAAAGACCAGCACCTTTTCTCTGCTGGATTTTCCTGAGAGATTTCCCAGAAATTGGGGAATGTAACACATTTTATGGGCTTGGAAAAATAGTAGCCACCATTATGCATAATGCTTATTATATGCCAGATAACTTCCTAAGCACTTTATAGATATTTATCATTTAATCATTTTACAACCCTGTGACAAAATATTACTCCCATTTTATAGGTGAAAATACTGTATTAGGTACAGAGAGGTAAAGGATCTTAACCAAAGTCATATACATATTGACAGAGCTAGGATTTGAATCCAGGTAGTCTGACTCAGGATTGATGTTCTGAATCCATTCTATCTAGATGGATCTTGAAAATATAGAGGAAGGAAAGTGCCTAACTGTTTAAAAATAGACGCCAAGGGCGGCGCCTGTGGCTAGGGTGCTGGCCCCATATATTAAGGGTGGCAAGTTCAAACCCAGCCCCGGCCAAACCGCAACAAAAAAATAGCCAGGCGTTGTGGCAGGTACCTGTAGTCCCAGCTACTCGGGAGGCTGAGGCAAGAGAATTGCCTAAGCCCAGAATTGGAGGTTGCTGTGAGCTGTGAGATGCCATGGTACTCTACCGAGAGCGAGAAAGTGGAAAAAAAAAAATTACGCATGGAGCCAGTGTCCTCTGTCAACTCCTTCCCCTCACTGTGTTGCTGCCATGCAGCTGATGATAGGTGCATGGCCATGGCCTTGGCTTAGGAAATTATTGACCCTATTGCCAAGGAGATGAAAGGAGTTTGACTTCCATGGTAAGAGGGACAGAGAGGGTAGGCCAATTCAGTAGCAGGTAAAGGGCAAAGGGAGTGTGGTACCTCTCCGTCCTGGCTTTGTGAAAAGGGACAGGGATGGAAACACCTGTCTGTGTTTCTCAACCCTGTGAAGGACCTCTGTTAGGCAGCAGTTGCTCTAGTGCAGGCAGCCTCAAACTACGGCCCGCGGGCCACATGCAGCCTGCCTAGGACATTTATCCAGCCCGCTGGCCTGCTTAGCAGCCAATTCGTTGCAGGGCCTGCAGACTGGCCCTCCAACGATTTGAGGGACAGTGAACTGGCCCCCTGTTTACAAAGTTTGAGGACCACTGCCTAGTGAATGCCAAATTCTTCAGGAGAAATCTGGAAATAGTAAGAATAAGGAGAGTTTGCAGCATGAAACAAAGTTCTAGCAAATTAGAACTTTGTTTCTGTGAAATCCTTTTGAAAGAGATACAACTAACTTCCTGGTTTCAGTATGGGATTAGATTTTAGTTGTAAATTAACAATTAGAATGAGATGATTTTATTATATTTATTATAAATATAATATAAATTTAACTATAATTCATTGTAATATAAAAATATTAAGTCACTGTGCAAAAGCAAAAAACTAGAAGGTAAAACAGAAACATTACGTTTCAGATCTGGTTCTGTCACAGATGTACTACATAATCCTGGGCCTCTTTCCTCATTTGTACAAAGAAATATTAGAAATGAGTATTTCTGGGCTGAGTGTAGTGGCTTACACCTGTAATCCTAGTACCCTGGGAGGCTGAGGTGGTGAGATCACTTGAGGTCAGGAGTTGAAAACCAGCTGAACAAGGGTGAGACCCCCATCTCTCTAAACAAACAAACAAAAAGAAAAGAAATAGAAAAATTAGCAGGGCATAGTGGTGCATGTGTGTAGTCCCAGCTTCTTGTGGTGACTAAGGCAGGAGATTTGCTTGAGCTTAGGAGTTTGAGGCTGTAGTAAGCTATGAGGACCCCACTGTACTCTAGCTGGGGTGACAGAGCAAGACTCTGTCAAAGAAAAGAAAAGAAATGAGTATTGCTAAGCATCCAGTTGGTTCATACACCTTCTGTGACCTTATGCTCTGTGGGCCAACTAATACCCCAGTCTGTATCTTTCCATAGGCCTTCTCTTGAAGGAGGAGGGAGGACTAGAAGCCAAATGTCTCTCACCCCTCTCTGGGTATACCCCGTTGGGTCTACACTTTCTGTTGCACTGGGGTGCACAGTGTGGGGTGCTCCCTGGGGGTACTCTGTGGGGTGCTCCTTGGGGCCCACAGAGGTGTTTCCTGGCCAATTGACTGTGTATTTGGGGAATTCTGGAGGGTCAGAAACTTTTAGTAACATGCCTCACAGATGAAAACCAAGATCCCTCAGCATAACTACAGACTGGGTGAGACTCCTGTCTTCATATCTCTCTTATGGGTCTCACTTTGCAGCAGTACAGGAAGAGCAGGGCAGCACACCCATTCCCTTTGTCATGTGCTAGTGATCTTCCAGAGACGGTATGTTCTCCCCTGTGTCCATCTTGGTCCAATTGTGTGGGCAGCGATTGAACACTCTGCATCTTACTAACATGTCTGATCTACCTTCTGTGGTCTGATTTTCACTTGCAGTGTAACCAGATCCATCACGGCCTGCGTTCTGGCATTGTTGTCCTTGGCAATGGGAAAGGCATCATCCGGAACAATCAAATCTTTTCAAATAAGGAGGCTGGCATTTATATCCTGTACCATGGAAATCCAATCGTGAGGTATCTGCCACAGTACCCACACAGTCCCACTCATCTGTGGTCCCTTTTTCCGTGTTCACCTGTTTCTTGACTCCATATCTTTCTCCATCTGTAAACATTGTTCTTAAACAACTGTACAGATGAAAGCACAGACTTCACCCATCATCCCACCCCAGTAACACAACTGCTTTGGTGTTTTGTGTGCCCTTCCAGTTAACTCTGTGTAGGCATTCTGTTCGTCAGTCATTGAACCCTTCCAACAAGGGATGATAAAGCTGAACGAGGGCCGCACTCTGCTCCCTAGGAGCTTATTCTAGTCTGGAGAAACAGGCACAAAAATGCCTTGAGAAGGGTGGCACCTGTGGCTCAGTGAGTAGGTTGCTGACTCCATATACTGAGAGTGGTGATTCAAACCTGGCCCCGGCCAAACTGCAACAAAAAAATAGCCAGGCATTGTGGCAGGCGCCTATAGTCCCAGCTACTCGGGAGACTGAGGCAAAGAATCACCTAAGCCCAAGAACTGGAGGTTGCCGTGAGCTGTGACACCATGGCACTACTGAGGATGACAAAGTGAGACTCTGTCACTTTGTCATCAGCAAAGTGCATCCCCAATGGTGCATGATGCATTTATTTATTTTGATAAAATAAAACAAATAAAAGTACCCTAAGAAGGATGGCATAAGAGATTTCAACTGGCTGGGCATGGTGGCTCACACCTGTAATCCCAGCACTTGGGGAGGCCAAGGCAAGTAGATTGCTTGAGCTCAGGAGTTCAAGACCAGCCTGAGCAAGAGTGAGACCCTGTCTCAACTAAAAGTAGAAAAACTAGCTAGGCATAGTTGTGGGCACCTGTAGTCTCAGCTACTTGGGAGACTGAGGCAAGAAGATTGCTCAAGCCCAAGAGTTTGAGGTTGCTGAGAGCCATGATGCCATGACACTCTATCCAGGGCAACAGAGTGAGATTCTGCTCTGTCTCAAAAAACAAAAATTCAACTCACCTGAAAACTCTGGTTAATTGACAGTGGTGACGTGGGATGCTATGTTAAGATCATGGTGCTACATCTGGCCTCAGCACGAAAGCGTGCAGTGATCAGTGACTGATATAAGTGGTAAGTGGGAAGAGGCTATAGCAGGACTAGTATCCGGTATCTGCCATCCCAGCTATAGTGTGGAACAGACAGTGATAAATGCCTTAAGAGTGGTATCAAGGACAGCCATTGCAGTACATTGAGCTCCATAGAGACAGCGCTGGGGCAAGTAGGAGCCAGACAGGCACTGGGCGACTCTGTGCCTCGCTGAGGAAAAATAACTAAACATGGGCAAAGGTGATCCTAAGAAGCCAAGAGGCAAAATGTCATCATATGCATTTTTTGTGCAAACTTGTCAGGAGGAGCACAAGAAGATGCACCCAGATGCTTCAGTCGACTTCTCAGAGTTTTCTAAGAAGTGCTCAGAGAGGTGGAAGACCATGTCTGCTAAAGAGAAAGGAAAATTTGAAGATATGGCAAAGGAGGACAAGGCCTGTTATGAAAGAGAAATGAAAACCGATATCCCTCCTAAAGGGGAAACAAAAAAGAAGTTCAAGGATCCCAGTGCACCCAAGAGGCCTCCTTCGGCCTTTTTCTTGTTCTGTTCTGAGTATCGCCCAAAAATCGAAGGAGAACATCCCGGCCTATCCATTGGTGATGTTGCAAAGAAGCTGGGAGAGATGCGGAATAACACTGCTGTGGATGACAAGCAGCCTGATGAAAAGAGGGCTGCAAAGCTGAAGGAAAAATACGAAAAGGATATTGCTGCATAATGAGCTAAAGGAAAGCCTGATGTAGTGAAAAAGGGAGTCGTCAAGGCTAAAAAAAGCAAGAAAAAGAAGGAAGATGAAGAAGAAGAAGATGATGATGAATAAGTTGGTTCTAGCGCAGTTTTTTTCTTGTCTAGAAAGCATTTAACCCCCCTGTACACAACTCCTTTTAAAGAAAAAAATTGAAATGTAAGGCTGTGTAAGATTTGTTTTAAACTGTACAGTGTCTTTTTTTGTATAGTTAACGCACTACCGAATGTGTCTTTAGATAGCCCTGTCCTGGTAGTATTTTCAATAGTCACTAACCTTGCCTGGTACCTTATGGGGGTTGTAAATTGGCATGGAAATTTAAAGCAGGTTCTTGTTGTGCACAGCACAAATTAGTTATATATGGGGATGGTAGTTTTTTCATCTTCAGTTGTCTCTGATGCAGCTTATATGAAATAATTGTTGTTCTGTTAACTGAATACCACTCTGTAATTGCAAAAAAAAAAAAAAAAAGTTGCAGCTGTTTTGTTGACATTCTGAATGCTTCTAAGTAAATACAATTTTTTTTATTAAAAAAAAAAAGAGTGGTACCAGGAAAAGGAGAGAATCACTCTGACCAGGATGATATGGGAAGTCCACATTTAGAAGGTAGCATTAGGCTCAGCGCCTATAGCTCAAGTGACTAAGGCACCAGCCACATACACCAGAGCTGGTGGGTTCAAATCCAACCTGGGCCTGCCAAACAACAATGACAGCTACAACCAAAAAATGGCCAAGCGCTGTGGTGGGTGCTTATAGTCCCAACTACTTGGGAGGCTGAGGCAAGAGAATTGCTTGAGCCCAGGAGTTGGAGGTTGCTGTAAGCTGTGATGCCACGGCACTCTACCCAGGGCAACAGTTTGAGGCTCTGTCTCAAAAAAAAAAAACATAGGGTGGTGCCTATGGCTCAGTGAGTAGGGCACTGGCCCCATATACCAAAGGTGGAGGGTTCAAACCCAGCCCCAGCTAAACCGCAACAAAAAATAGCCAGGCATTGGTGGGCACCTATGGTTCCAGCTACTTGGGAGGCTAAGGCAAGAGAATCGCCTAAGCCCAGGAGTTGGAGGTTGCTGTGAGCTGTGACACCAAAATAAACTAAAATAAAATAAAATAAATTAAAATAGAAGGTAGCATTAGAATTGGACTTTGGAAAATGGGTAGGACTTGAACTCAGGGAGATGAGGGGAGAGGTTGGTGGATACTCCTAGTACAGGAAATAGCATGAGCAAAGCAGCAGAGCACAGCAGAAAGGGTTAGCAATCAGTCCACTGTGCCTAAAGGAAAAATCTGACATGAAGTATAACATTAGTATAAAATATTGTAAACTGGGACTGTCCCGGGAAATTGTGGGCCCCATGGTCCCTGCAGCTGACCTGTCATATCCTTATTGAAGTCCCTCTGTGCCATGCAGCATAGTGGATAGGAATGGTGGATGCACTTTGCTGATGACATGATCTTATACTTAGAAAACCCCAGAGACTCAAGCACAAGACTCCTGGAAGTGGCTCGGCGCCTATGGCTCAACCGGCTAAGGCACCAGCCTCATACACCTGAGCTGGTGGGTTTGAATCCAGTCCAGATCCGCCAAACAACAGTGACAGCTGCAACCAAAAAATAGCTGGGCATTGTGGTGGGCGCCTATAGTCCCAGCTACTTGGGAGGCTGAGGCAGGAGAATTGCTTGAGACCAGGAGTTGGAGGTTGCTGTGAGCTGTGATGTCACGGCACTCTACCCAGGACGACAGCTTGAGGCTCTGTCTCAAAAAAAAAAAAAAAGACTCCTGGAAGTGATCAAGAAATATGATAATGTCTCAGGGTATAAAATGAATGTCCACAAATCAGTAGCCTTTGTATACACCAATAATAGCCAAGTTGAGAAGCAAATCAAGGAGACAATTCTCTTCATAGTAGCGTCAAAGAAAATGAAATACTTCGGAATATCCACAACAAAAGAGATGAAGGATCTTTACAAAGAGAATTATGAAACCGTAAGAACAGAAATAGCAGAAGACTTTAACAAATGGAAGAACATACCATGCTACTGGCTGGGGAAGAATCAACATTGTTAAAGTATCTCTTCTACCCAAAGCAATCTACACATTCATTGTGTTCCCCATTAAAATACCAACATCATACTTTGAAGAACTGGAAAAAATAGTACTTTGTTTTGTTTGGAACCAGAAAAAAACCCATGTAGCCAAAGAAAGCAAGAGGCATCAGACTTCAGGCTATATTACAAGTCCACAGTGATCAAAACAGTATGATATTGGCAAAAGAAAAAAAAAAGAGAGAGTGAGAGAGAGACCTACACATGTGGAACAAGCAATGAAACCAGTCTCTGGTGGCCATCTGATCTTTAATAAACCAAACAAAAGCATACTGGAGAAAAGAATCCCTATTCAACAAATGGCGCTGGGAGAACTGGATAACCACGTGTAAAAAACTGAAATTGGACCCACACCTTTTACCACTTAGAAAAATTGACTCAAGATGGATAAAAGATAGCTGGGTATTGTGGTGGGTGCCTGTAGTCCCAGCTACTTGGGAGGCTGAGGCAAGAAAATTACTTAAGTCCAGGAGTTTGAGGTGGTTGTGAGCTGTAGAGTGCCACAGCACTCTACCCAGGGTGACATAGTGAGACTCTGTCTTTAAAAAAAAAAAAAGGATAAAAGATTTAAATCTAAGGCATGAAATGATAAAAATCTTAGAAAAAAGTGTAGGAAAAACTCTTGATGATGTCGGACTGGGGGAAGATTTTATAACAAAGATGGCACTAGAAATCACAACAAAAATAAAGAAATGGGACTTAATTAAACTGAAAAGTTTTTGCATACAACAAGTAAGCAAAAAGACAGCCTTTAAAATGAGGAAAGATATTTGCAGGGTATTAATCTGACAAAGGTTTGATAACTAGAATCTACAGAGAACTCAAGTTAATCAACAACAAAAAAAGTAAACCCATCTACCACTGGGCAAGAGTTATGAACAGAAACCTTCTCTGCTGAAGACAGACAAATGGCTTAAGATTTGAAAAAATACTCATCATCCCTGATCATCAGAGAAATGAAAATCAAAACCACCCTGAGATAATCACCTAACCCCAGTGAGAGTAGCCCACATCACAAGTTCTCAAAGCTACAGATGCTGGTGTGGATGCTTACACTGCTGGTGGGACTACAAACTAATACACCCTTTTTTGAAGGAAGTTTGGAGAATCTTTAAAGAACTCAAATTAGGCTTGGTGCCTGTAGTTCAGTGGTTTAGGGTGCTGGCCACATACACCAGGGCTGGTGGATTCCAACCCAGCCAGGGGCTGCTAAATACAACAGTGACAACTACAACAAAAAAATAGCCAGGCATTGTGGCAGATGCCTGTAGTCCCAAGCTACTTGGGAGGCTGAGGCAAGAGAATCCCTTAAGCCCAAGAGTTTGAGGTTGCTGTGAGCTGTGATGTCATAGCACTCTACCCAGGGTGCCATAGTCAGACTCTGTCTCAAAAAAAAAAAAAAAAAAACTCAGACCTCTCATTTGATCCTGCTATCCCATTACTAGACATCTGTTCAGAAGAAAAAAATTTTCAATCATAAGGACATTTGCACTAGATTGTTCATTGCAGCTCAATTTACAATTGCCAAAATGTGGAAATAACCTAAATGGCCCACCAACCCAGGAATAGCTCAACAAATTGTGGTATACGTAAATCATAGAATACTATTCAGCCATTAAAAAGATGGAGACTTTGTATTAACATGGATGGGGTTGAAACACGTTCTTCTTAGTGAAGTATCACAGGAATGGAGAGGCAAGAATCTATTGTACTCAATTCTAATATGAAGCCAGTAGATGATCCAATATGTGCCCACTTAAGAGAAAAACTCATATCAATTCAAGGTGGGGGATGAGGGAACAAGGAAAGAGGGAGGGGGATGGGAATGCCCCCACTTAATGAGCACAATGTTAGGTTGTTTGGCACACCTCTTAAGGACAAGACACAATTATAAGAGAGACTCTACCTAACAAATTCAAACATTGTAACCTAATTCTTTGTACTCTCAAATTAACCCTTCAAAATTAAAAAAAGAATGATGGAAAGAAAGACTTGGGCCAGATGAGGAAGGCCTTTATGCACACCAAGCTAGGGAGTGTGGAACTTATTCTGCCTGGTTAAGAGGAAGTCAGTAAAGGTCTTTGAGCGGAAGACCCCCACAGTTATCTGTGCTTTAGGGCATAGCCAGTATGGGTAGATGCCTAGTAATGGGATTACAGGATCAAATAAGAGGTCTAATTTGAGTTATTTGAAGATTCTCCAATTTTTTTTTTCTGCAGTTTTTGGCCGGGGCTGGGTTTGAACTGCCACCTCTGGCATATGGGGCCAGCGCCCTACTCCTTTGAGCCACAGGCACCTCCTGATTCTCCAGATCTTAATGCATAGCAAATCTATTCCGAGATGTTTTCCCCCTACATTATTCCGTATATGCTTTTCTCCATTTTATTACATGACCTTTGTATTCATCACTCTGGAAAGTTTTGAAACATTCCATTGTTTTGATATTCCATAATTTTTAAACCAGTCCTATTACTGTTAGCCAGTTATATATGTTTGGCTGTTACAGACAGCTTACTAAAAACAATTAATGTCCATTTCCCTTCTTTTGCATTATTGTCTTAACATGAGAGTGTATACATTTGTATTTATGTGTGTCGTCCTTTTGACACAGGTGACAGGCATATATTACTATAAAGTAAGAACAATCCCTTCTCCAGGAAGTTTATAGCCTCATGCTGGAGATAGACAAGTAGAAAAAGAGCCATGATTTCACATGAGCGTATCAGGGAATGGACGTTTGATGTGCGCTTGAAAGATACATAGGATTTTATGGTCAGGGAAAAGGCATTCTGGGCCCAGAAACAGTGATATTCAGGTATGTCTGGGGAAATGATGAGAAATATTGTATTTCTGAGTACAAGATACCTGGGGGGATAGTGCCAAGGCAGATTGCTGCACAGAGGACCTTGAATGTTAAGTGTAGAAGGCAGAATAATGACTACAAAGATGTGTACATCCTGATCCCTGAAACCTGTACATATTTCGCCTTATATCGCAAAAGGGACATGATTAAATTAGGGACCTTGAAAAAGATAGGAGAGATCATTCTGGATTACCCAGATAGACCCAGAGTAGCCAAAGTTGTTCTTGTAAGAGGAGAGCACCAGGATTAGCGTGAGAGAGGAGGAGATTGTGACAGTGATGCAAAGGCCACAGGCTTAGAAATGCAGGCAGCCTTTAGAAGCCGGGAGACGAGGAGCCTCCAGAAGGAGCACTGCTGACACTTTGATTTTAGACCTGTAAGACCCATTTTGAACTTAATGACCTCTTGAAATGGAAGATATAAATCTCTTGTTTTAGGCCACTCAGTTATAACTTTTTATAGTAGCAACAGGAAACTAATAGACCAAACTCAGAAGTTTGAACTTTGCCAAATGAAAATTTGAACTGAAATCTCTCAGCTGCATGGTGGGAAGGAGGAATTCTCCCTCATGAAGAAGTGGATAGGTACCCTTCCAGTGGAAAGGAGATCATAACATTCAGATTAGTAAAAATGACAAACAGCAAATGTATGTTCTCCAGGGATAACCCAGTTCTGCTAACATTTATGTGTGATTGGCTTTTTTCTTAAAGATGGTGAAACTGAGGTACAGTTATTAGAAATAAATGTGTGTCCTTTAACAGGTTTAGTTGTCTGGTTTTGAGTAATTTACTCTTAATGCCATTACATGGTAAAAAGGGCTGTATATTTCTCTGAGCAGGAGTATATTTTCATATACCTTCCATTTTGGGGTAACCAACCCATAGATGCCACATATGCATTGTCTGGTGTCCTTGAAATTCCCTTTTAAAATCTGGTCTTCTGGGTGGCACCTGTAGCTCAGTGGGTAGGATGCTGGCATCATATACCAAGGGTGGTGGGTTCAAACCCGGCCCCAGCCAAACTGCAACAACAACAAAAAAATAACTGGGCATTGTGGCAGACACCTGTAGTCTCAGTTACTTGGAAGGCTAAGGTAAGAGAATCACCTCAGCTCAGAGTTGAAGGTTGCTGTGAGCTGTGTGACACAACACTCTACTGAGGGCAATAAAGTGAGACTCTGTCTCTAAAAAAAAATAATAAAATCTGGTCTTCTGGCTGGGCGTAGTGGCTCACACCTGTAATCCTAGTACTCTCAAGCTGAGGTGAAAGGATTTCTTGAACTCAGGAGTTTGAGACCAGAGCAAGACCCTGTTTCTACTAAAAATAGAAAAAAATTAATTGGGTATCGTGGCAGATGCCTTTAATCCCAGCTGCTTGGAAAGCTGAGGCAGGATCGCCTGAGCCCAGGAGTTTGAGGTTGCTGTGGGCTAGGATGATGCCATGACACTCTAGCCTGAGGCAGTAGAGTGAGGCTGTCTCCAAAAGGAAAATACCTGGTTTTCTTCTTTTAAGCATGTCATTATTTTATGTTGTCACTCAGTGGGTCACTGATTAAATTAACAAAGAGTGTCCCCAGGGAAAATAAAAATAGAGTAGCTGTTGGATGCAAGCAGAAGACTGTAGGCTCATCAAAAGGAGAAAGTCTGATTCCAGGCTTTGGACACACATCACTCCTAAGCAATCTTAACGTAGTCCCTTTAGGCCACCAAGACCTTACTTGTGACCCATGCACTATGATGACATTATTTAAAATGTTTGTGTGTAGATGACAGTCAAGTTCAAGTGAGACCATAGTGAGATGGATGTCACTGTGCTTATATAGCATAGTTATAGATTTAATTTCTGCTCAGGTTGTCCCAATGACAACTGAAGACAACTACATGCCTGGTTTATAAGACTTCAGAAAGTGCTTTGTGTCCCTGTATACATGAGGCATAGGGAAGCCCACAAAGACCGTTGCCTAGAAGACATCGAAGGCCTGCTCTCACCTCTTTGTTTTGTTGTTCTTCTACTTTAGTGGGAACCACATCTTCAAGGGCCGTGCTGCGGGCATAGCAGTGAACGAGAATGGCAAAGGCCTCATCACAGGTACAGGATGCCTGGAGCTATGGCCAGCCAAGGCACACATCAGCCAGCCAAGACAGCATCCCCGGCATCATTATCCCCAGTTTCAGGACCTTTATTCCCAGAGATTTGGGCCACCAGCTCTGACTAGCGGGCTGGTACTCAGGGATGCAGGTTCCATGCCAGCCATGCTTCTCATGAGGAGGGTCTAGCACGGTAGGGTGGAGGGGGACAGTTCTTTCCAGGCCCAGAGCTAATAGGACCTCCTGGGTGGCTCACAGAAGCAGTGATGCCAAACCAGCTGCCAGTGTCCCTCCTCTTGGCTTTTGTGTGGGCTTCTGCCTTCTCTGGAAATCTCTCCCTGGCTAGCTCTTGCTCAACCTTCAGACCTCAGCTTAAGTGTCACTTTCCTTAGGGAAGCCCTCTGACCTCACCCTTGTAATAATATGCTCACCATCCCCGGGATGCCTCCTCTGTGGGACTTTTTACCTATAAGGCAAGGAGGAAGTCTATCTGGTACCTCAAGGCAGCCTCAACACAGAGCAGAGCCAGGCTTAGCATATGAAAGGGATTAGGCAAATATGGGTCCAGTGTATCCGCCTGGCTAAATCCAGCCTTCGTTCATCAAACATTATTGAGCACACACATGCATGCAGGCCATGTTCCAGGAGCCATAGTACAGCCATGAATGAAAGGTCCCAGTTCTCAGGAACTACAGTTTAGGAGAGAGAAGCAAATAAATAAAAGCATACATATAGGCTGGGGGGTTCGAATCCAGCCCAGGCCCACCAAACAACAATGACTGCTGCAACCAAAAAAAAAAAAAATTAGCCGGGCATTGTGGTGGTTGAGTGTGGTCCCAGCTACTTGGGAGGTGGAGGCAGGAGAATTGCTTGAGCCCAGGAGTTAGAGGTTGATGTGAGCTGTGATGCCATGGCACTTTACCCAGGGTGACAGCTTGAGGCTCTGTCTCAAAAAAATAAAATAAAAAATCAGCATACATATACGAGCAAAAGAAAAAAAATCATGTCTAAAAGTGATATGTGCCCTACCAGTAATTAAGATAAGGCGGTAAGGGCCCGTGGCTCATGCATGTAATCCTATCACTCTAAAAGGCTGAGGTGAGTAGATTGCTTGAGCTCATGTGTTCGAGACCAGCCTGAGCAAAAGCGAGACCCCATCTCTACTGAAAATAGAAGAACTGAGGCAAGAGGATTGCTTGAGCCCAAGGGTTGGAGGTTGCTGTGAGCTATGACACCACAGCATTCTACCCAGCGTGACAGCTTGAGCCTCTATCTCAAAAAAAAAAAAAAAAAAGATAAAGTGGTAAGAGCCGATGTGGGTCTCTAAGCCTGGGTGGTCAGAGCAATCTTCTGAGGAGGTGACCAGTAAGCCAGAACTGGAGGAGCAGGTAGGAGCCTAGGAAAAGAATCTTCTAGGCAAGGCCACCTGTGGGAATTGACTTGGCCTACCTGAGCAGAGATCACTGTGGGGGTAGAGTGTGCTAGGTGAGGGGCAAGGGGCATAAGGTAGGGTCACAAAAGCAGGAAGGGGCCAGTCACGGGGTCTCATGAGCCACTGCACCCTAGTCCCAGGAGGCCAACATTTTTCCCAGCCACCTTGCTGAAAGCAGCAGTATCCCAGACCACTCTTGTGACATTTAACTCTTCTGCCCAGTCTAAGAGGCGGTGGCTCCCAGGGAGAAAAGAGCTGAGGCTGAGTGAGGAGGACAGGATAGGTCTTTCTCAGGCTTGTGGGGAAATGGCTGGATTCTGGTTCTGGGGACTCTGAGGCCAGTTTATTCTTCATCAGTCCTTTGACCATTTGGTGCTGTGGGTGCTGGGAATGTAGGAGAGCACAGGACAGACAAAAGCTTTGGCCTTGGGGAAAGCAGTTGAGTCCTTGCAATATCAAACAGACAAAGCTTGGGGCGCTAACTATGGGCAGGGTAAGGCCCAGGCCTCCTGGCCTAGAGTGGCCTTGATCTTAGCTGTCCATGTCCTCATTGCTGGCACTGGACTGGCCCTTGGGTATTGATGTTCTTTTCTGCCTCTCTCCATAGAAAATGTCATCCGTGAGAATCAGTGGGGAGGTGTGGACATCCGCCGTGGAGGGATCCCCGTCCTCAGGAGTAACCTCATCTGCTTTGGCTATTCAGATGGTGTGGTCGTGGGAGATGAAGGCAAAGGGCTGATAGAAGGAAATACCATTTACGGTGAGGAGCATGTTCGGGGGAGGGGCTCTGAGGGTCCAGCCCATCCTGGAACTGAGGCAGCAAGCCCAGGTTCCATCTCCAGCTGGTGAGGCCAGAGAAAGTAACTGCTTTTCCCAGCACCTTCAAAGACCTCATCCAAAGAACAGGCACTCTCAGGGTCCTAGTCACAAGTCCCCTCAGAATGGAGAGCCTCTCTTATAAATCACCTTTTAATCCAGACTGACCTGGGGGGTCAGCAGAGAGCTTTCTCCCCACTTAAAATAGCAAACAGCAGGGGCTGTGTCATGTCCAAGGACAGGACCACTTAAGCTCTGAAGCATGTGCATCTGATTCTTCTCATCCTTTCTTTTGATCCAGAGAGCTAAAAATCTAATGAGAAAACAGGATAATTATAGACAGAAAACTACCCTCACTCTGGGACTTCAGGCAAAGCCTTAATCTCTCTGAACTGTATCTCTAGTAATAAAAATACAGATAACAGGCCAGGCACGGTGGCTCATGCCTGTAATCCCAGCACTCTGGGAGGACATGGTGGGAGGGTCGCTTGAGCTCATGAGTGCAGCTTGAGCAAGAGCAAGACCCTGGTCTTTACAAAATAAAAAGAAATAGAAAAATTAGCTGGGCATGGTGATATGTGCCTATAATCCCAGCTACTCAGAGATGAGGGAGGAGAATCACTCAAGCCCAGGAGTTTGAGGCTGCAGTAAGCTGGGCTGATGCCACTGCACTCTAGCCAGAGGGAACAGAGAAGGATTCCATTTAAAAAATAAATAAATGGCTCAGCGCCTGTGGCTCAAGTGGCTAAGGCACCAGCCGCATACACCTGAAGTGGCGGGTTCGAATCCAGCCTAGGCCCACCAAACAACAATAACAGCTACAACCCAAAAATAGCCGGGTGTTATGGCGGGCGCCTGTGGTCCCAACTACTTGAGAGGCTGAGGCAAGAGACTTGCTTGAGCCCAGGAGTTGGAGGTTGCTGTGAGCTGTGATGCCACGTCATTCTACTCAGGGGGACAGCTTGAGGCTGTCTCAAAAATAAATAAATAAAGATAACATTTATTTAGGTCCACCTCTCTGCTAGGCCCTCTATATGCATTGTCCTATCTAATCATAACTGCCTTCTTAGGTAGATACAGTTTTCAATCCCATTTTAAAGATGCAGACACTGAGGCACAGAGAGGTTTGGTCACTTGTGCAAGATCACACAGCTGGGATGTGGTAGGGCTGGAATTCAAACTGAGGCTGCCTCCTGTGTAAGGAGAGTTTGGTGACCCTTCGGCACTGTCACTATGGGCTTGTGTGCTGCTGGTCAGGAAGTGGGGCCTTAACTATTCTCAGAGCACTTGTATACCTTGTGGAATGGTCCTAGTTTATGAGATCGGCCTGTTTGTTATTATCCCCCATCTCGTGTGGAGAGGTCTACAGCCAGAGCTGTAAAGTGACTTGTCTGAGGCCATTAATTGGCAAATCAGGAACTTTGTCTCCCAGGCCAGTGCCTTTTTGTTTCCCTTTTTACTGAGACACCTCACCCATCACTGGGTGTCAGTAACCAGCCCCTTTCACTATCCCAGCTAATAAGGGCTGTGGTGTGTGGATGATGTCGTCCAGCCTGCCCCATGTCACCAGCAACCACGTCAGCTACAATGGCCTGTACGGAGTAGCAGTGTTCAGCCACAAGGACGGCTCCAGTGAGTTTCCTGGAGGCCATGGAGCCCAGGAGAACTTCAGCGAGGACAGGGATGCCATCCTCTGGGAGACAGAGCTAGAGAAGGAGGAAGACCCACTGCGCCGGCCCATCACCATAGCTCTAGTTGAGTCTAACAGTATTAATCACAATGGAGGTAAGCATAACTCTCTTAGCCCCTGCTCAAGAACACGTCATGGCTCCTCAGTGTTGTAAGAGCCCCCTGCAGACTGGCCCCAGCTTACCCTTCCAGTTCATCAACTCCTTTCTACACTTATCTGATACCCCAGCCTTCTAGACTTGTTCCTTAAATTTGAATCTGTTCTTTCCTATGTCCTGTCTCACCACTTTAATACTGTTTCTCTTGCCAGAAATTCCTTTTTTTCCATCCACACATCCCAAACGAACTTGAACTTCAAAACCTGCTATGAATGCACCCCTTCATCCTATTATTTGAATTGAACTGTGCCCTCCCCACTCCTAGTGGCACTTGTTACAGGGCCCCATGGCTATAGTTATTTCTGTGATTGTTTCATCAGCTCTGATAAGCCATCAGATTGAAGCAAAGAACTAAAGCCCACTCTTCTCAGTGCCCTCTGCCCCTACACTGCTGCCACACACATTTTCAATCAGTTGTAAGACACATTTTTGACATTTTAACATCTCTGATGAGATACAGAGTTAATGGCATATCATGGTTTAATTGGCAATGTTTTTTTTCTTGAGAAGTAGAAAAATCAGTGTGTTTTAAATCCACACTATATTAAACATAATAAAAAATGGTAGTATTTGATATTTCTTGAATAGAAAAAAATTTACAGCTGGGTGTGGTGGTTCACATCTGTAAACCTAGCAGTTTGGGAGGCCAAGGCAGGTAGATTGCCTGAGCTCAGGAGTTTGAGACCAGCCTGAGCAAAATGAGACCCCATCTCTACAAAAAAAAAAAAAAAACTAGCTGGGCATTGTGGTGGGCACCTGTAGTCCCAGCTACTGGGGAAGCTGAGACAAGAGGATGACTTGAGCCCAAGAATTTGAGGTTGCTGTGAGCTAGGATGCTACAGCACTCTACCCAGGGTGACAGAGAAAGACTATCTCCAAAAAATAAAAAGGAAAAAGAAAAAACTTTAGAGTTGATCTAACTGTGGGGCTCCTAAATCTGACTGCCTATCAGAATCACACAGTAGGGTGGAGGCTGATGGAGAAGGCCTTAATAAGAATAGATTCCTCAGCCCTGGTAAGCTCTTTCCTTTGGCAATGGCAGAGGGCAGGGAGATCAATAGACAGCAGCCCCAGCCCACTTGTTCAGAAAATGAATTCAGAGTTTCCTCCATGTGACCACACACTGTCCAATAGGACAAGCAAAGCACATACATTGACAGATTCTTGTTTTTTGCTATTCTAGGCAGGTGCCACCAAGAGGTTCAAACTCTGGCCCAGGCTGCTCTCCCACATGATCCTGGTGTCCTCCATGAGACTCCTCCTAGTGCTGCCCCATCCCTCTTGTTCTCGTGGCAGGTGGCTGTACCCACTGCTGAGTCTTCTTCCTCCCCACTGCTTGGCCCAGCTGCCATGCTTTCTCTTCTGGACAAGTCATAAGGTCCTAATGTTGCTGATTTTTTTTTTTTTTTTTTT